AAGCTGAATATTCATGTTTTTTATATGATCCAACAAACACTGTCATTAAAAGGTCGCATAAAAACATAATATATAAAAATTTTGCGATAATATTTTTGTTTTAAAGTTTTCGTATATTTTTACACATGGTCTTGTTTATAAAACTTTTAGCATGAATTATCCATCAACCATTTTTTTTTAAACAATTTCTTCGTTGATGCCAAGACTTGTTAATATTGAAACAATATCCTGTTTCTAAACGGTGTTTTTTTTTTTTTCATTTATTTGTATCTACAACTGTACATGTATTATGTACAACCAGCAGATTGGATTTCAGATTATGCGTTTGGCATTATGGGCGTTATTGAGAAAGCTACCCATTGGCAGCCGCTCTGGATTAATGAAATGATATTAATCATTTAAGAGGTCTCTTATCCATATTCTTTTCAGACGTATATGTGGTGATTGTGGGGAATGGAGTAATCGTATTTGTGTGTTGGTGTGATTTTGTAATTTACTATGAAAACGTCTGTAATATGTTTTGATGGATGAAAAAACTGTTAGGATTTGAAGATCTCTGTGAAGTGTATTATTGCTTACATAAAAAGGGGCAGAAACAATTAGTCTTAAAATTTTGGATTGAAAACTTTGTAATCTTTGAATATTGGAATACTTGGCCGATCCATATACTTGGCACCCATACATCCAAATAGGTTTGACTAGGTATGTGTATGTCGAAAGTTTTGATTTTAATGGTAATTTTGATTGTCGGTTGAGGAGGTAATAAAGAATTTTAAATCGTTTGTTCAGTGTTTGTTTTTTTAATCGTGTATGTGTGGATTCCATGTTAGTCTTCTATCAAATGTAAGTTCTAAATAGTTAACTTTGTCGGATTGAGGAACAGGTTCATTGTATAAGTATATGCTAGGACAAGTCTCACGACGGAGTGTAAAGGTGATATGTTGTGACTTTGAGGGATTAAACTTTATTTTCCAAAGATTGCTGCTTTTTCAATTGTTGATATGTGGTTTTGTAACATGAGTGAAGCTTATACTTTTAAAAAGTATTGAACACCACACTCACTCCATCATTTATCATTTCTATGAGTGAAGCTTGTGTAAAATAGAGATGGCTTGTTAATATGGCGGTGAGTGTATTCTCATTTGTGGGCATATCAGAAGTAAAAATTGTGTACAACAGCGGAGCGAGTATTGACCCTTGTGGCACACCTGCAAGCACTTCAATCCTAGAAGTCTCCGTATCCTGGTTTACTGCGAAAAATCTCTCTTTAAGGTATGATTGTATAATCAGATAATAGGCCAGGGGTAAAAATAATTTTAATTTGTATAATAATCCCTCATGCCATACTTTGTCGAAGGCCTGAGAAACATCTAGAAACATTCCAGTCGCGTACAGTTTCTGCTCGAGACACGAAGTAATGAAATCAGTCACTCTGTGAAGTTGATGAGTGGTGGAATGATGGGTTCGAAAGCCAAATTGATGGTCTGGTAAGATGTTGTTCGAAGTAGCAATAGAGATAATTCTTTTGTAAATTAATTTTTCGAATAATTTAGAAGGAACGGGTAACAAACTAATAGGACGAAAAGACGATAGGGAGCTTAAATTTTTATGGGGCTTTGGGATCATTTTAATGTAAGAAAGTTTTCATTGTAAGGGGAAGTGTGTAATCCTCAAACTTACGTTAAATAAGGAAGTCGAAAAGAACTGCTTTTTTGGGAAGTTCTTGAAGAACTTCAGCTGTTATCAAATAATGACCAGGTGATTTATTTGTAGGAAGCTGTCGTATTTCTTGTGATACTTGTTTTGGAGTTATTAGTTTAGGTGGCAAATATAGGGGCATAGGTGTTACAAGCGAATCTGATATAAATTTATCGTGTTCAGTGTTCATTATGTTATGAGGTTTGAATACCTCGGAGAGATGTTTCGCAAATGCTTTGGACTTTTCTTTATCGGAAACGATCCAAGTTCCATCATCGTTCCTGAGAGGAGTTGAAACAACGCTATGACACAGGATACGTTTAGTACTACAAGCTTTTTAAAAGTATTTCGTATGATTGTTGTTTAAATTGTTTTATTTCTTTTTTCAATGTATTCAAAAGTTTGTTGTAATTTTGTTTGTCAATGACTGATCTAGTACGTTGCGAAAGGTTTCTAGCCCTTCTTTTTTCGGATATTAATTTCCTTATGTAGAAAGGATAATTTAGAAGATTTTGTTTTTGAGTGTGAGGCAATGAAGATTCCCACGCTGCGTTTTGTATTGTTTTTGTAAATAGATCAACCGCGTTTTCTAGTTCTCCTGGTGTTTTTAACCTAATTGGGACGGAAAGTTTTGCATCAACCAAGGAACGAAATTTTTTCCAATTCATTGGTCCAGGAGTTAGAGTAGGACGATTGTTTTTAATAAAAGGTTTTAATTGAAGTGATAAAAAGACAGGTAGATGGTCAGATGATAAGTCGGTGGAGGTGTTTGTGTGAATTATTTATTCCCTTACAAACAAAAAAATCCAGTAGATCCGGAGATTTTTTCGTTGATGTTGGTGGGAGTGTTTGGTGTGATGTATTTAAACGGTGTTAAACAACAATTAAAACTGTTTCTTTAAATTTTGCAGTAATGAACTTCAGAGTCCGCCTCTTAGCGAATAGCATACTTCCATACGGTTCCGACTTCTCTCACGTATCCCGGAAGAAATTTCCCGCGGGAGCGACGGGAAGAGTCACGTGATATTGGAAAACATCAATTTCACGTGTTTCCCTTTTCTGGGAAACCATCTCCATGTTCGGTACAATCCGGTTGGGAAGAGCTCCCACTGAGTGGACAGGAATGAAATTCCTGCGGTTCTCGTATCGTGCCACAAACAGAAATTGGACTTTTCCCCGGACGGATAACTGAATCCGTGTCTTATACGATGAATTTATTTTTGCTTACGTGGATTTACTTACTCTGATTTCTTTCTTAGAAGGTCTTATTCGACGTGAATTTTCCGCTTGACGTTTAATATCAGCACACGCCCTACGTATTCTGTTTGTCAACTTGGAACTGACAATCTCCAAGGTTAATAATAAAGAAAAACCTGGAAGAAAAACAGCCCCTTGTTTCTAGCACAGAAGGTTTTGTTTCTTTTAACAAGTGACACAGAAATTCATTTCTTTTTCTCGTAGGTACTTTTTCATATAAACAAAACGTATTGCCTTTTATTTCCAGTTTTAAGTAACAATAATTTTAAACCTTATCAATAAAGAATCTAATTTCCAACATAATTCAATTCCTTTCGTATAATACACAAAAAAATTGAACGACCTATGAAATAAACAATCTGACTTACAGATAATTAAGACAAATAACATTTACTCGTTGATAGGCTGGAACACGTTTGACAGACAGGTCGTGTAGACGATATCATAAAAAGGATAAAGGAAATAATATTGTGAATTTACTATACATAAATAGGCTGTAAGAGAGAAATACCGACAGGCGTATTGACTGACTTCGACAGACAGTGTTGCTGATAATGATTGTATAGGTTGACGAGCAGAATGACACGATTGTATTACAGTACAAAAGAAATATTGTGTCAATTTATATTCCATAGCGGGTGTATTGTGTTTAAAAATTATGTAAATGGTGACAGATCAAGTACAATAGAAGGAAAACATTCTGTTATTAATATGTGTAAACGTGGGAGAAAAATGATATATTGTATAAACAATTCATTAGATTTCGTGGTCCGATTGATCAAATAACCTCTTTCAATTAATTAATCTTAATGTATTGGTTGAGGTAACAAAGTCAATGGCACGAGCGGGGTTCGAACCCACGACCTTCGGCTAAATACGCCGCTGCTCTACCACTTGAGCTATTGTGACTTCGATCCATTCGGACTCAAACTTCCCATCAAGTTGTAGAGGAGCAGCGTATTTAGCGGAAAGTCGTGGGTTCGAATCCCGCTCGTGACACTGACTTTTTGCCTCTCTCCGTAGGCATTTCATTTGTCGCCGAGAATCAAATAGATTACACGACAGTTGAAAAATGGCAAAAAGAAAGGAAAATTCAAAAGGTGGGTTGAGATGGGAAGTTAGTGTCCGAGTGGATCGAAGTCACGACAGCTCAAGTGGTAGAGCAGCGGCGTATTTAGCCGAAGGTCATGGGTTCGAATCCAGCTCGTCACGATGACTTTTTTGTCTCAACCAATACCTTACATAAAGATTAATTAATTGAAATATTGTAAAACATTCACCAAACTAAGAAACGAGAATATCTCTATAAGTATGCAATCAACGGTACGTAAAAAGGACAGAGGGCCGCTAATACAAAAAAAAAAAAAAAAAAAAAAGAATGGGAAAATTATTGTTTTATGGTCAATACGTTTGTAGTTTGAAAAGTACAGACAGCTCACTTATAATTCGGTTGATAAAAAATTATTAGGGTAACCATGTTTTTTATTTCGATCTCAACAGTTTAACTTCTGATTTTTCCTTCTCGAAGGTGGGATAATAGGTCATCTCAAAAAAAAACAACAACCAACTTTTTTCAATCCGTAATGTTTCGGATTTATTTTAATGCTTCCTCAGGGGAGTTAGCGCCTATACACCGAACAAAGATTTCTTACATTTTTAGACAAACATGGTTATCATTGTTTTTTTAATACTAACAATTGTCATTAATATTTTGTAATAGCTTATTTTAAAATAAGCCAGTGTGATACATTTCACTACTCACCTGAGGAAGGATTGAAATAAATCCGAAACGTTGTGGATTGAAAAAAGCTGGTTGTTGTTTTATTGAGATGACCTATTATTCCCCCTTCAAAATGGAAAAATCAGAAGTTAATCGAAAATTATTATAATATTCAAAACATCAATTAATTATGCAGAGTTTAGACAAAATCAATGAAAGTGGATTTGTAGAAGCATTTTTGATTAAATTTTTTTAATTTGAAGGCAATTATTATTATAAATTACAGACATACAAGGGTTTAAAAAGCTGGATGAATATGTCTTACCTTGATAGGATTGTAGGTCATATCTAAGTGTTTGAGAATGGGAAACTTGCTCCATACTGGGACAACCTGTATTCTGCATTTAGATATGTAGAGTGTTCTGAGTGCTGGTGCGGACAGGGAAGCAATAGACGTCAATGGATTGGAAGAAAGGTTGAGGGAGACTAGTTTCTCCAAAGGCGGCAAAGGTGGAAGGTTCCGAATTCCTGTGTCGCCTAAGTTCAGCACCCTCAGTTCCGGGCTGTACTTAAGCAGCTCTTTATGGTCGGCCCTGATCCTGTTACCGCAGAGCTCGAGGCGCAGGAGGACCGTAAGGCTCTTGAAAACGCCATCCTGGAGGACGGTCAGCTTGTTGTGACACAGATTAAGTACGGTGAGAAGCGGCGTTTCAGGGAAAAGGGTCGAGTCGAGCCGTTCGATGTGGTTGTGCGACATGTCGAGTATCCTCAGCGTGAATCCGACCTCGCCGAGTGCGGCGCCGGGCACGACGAGGAACTCATTATTGGAAAGATCCAGCCTTTCGAGTTTCGTGTTTTGAAAAGCGTCTCTCGGGATGCTCCTGATGTGATTAAAAGAGAGATCGACGACCCTGAGGCGAGACAGAGACTTAAATTGCTCCATGTGAAGTTGTTCGATGTGATTGTGCGACAAATCTAATATCTGGAGATTTCCTAATCCGACGAACGCCCTTTTCCGCAAACTCACGATTGAATTATGCTGGAGCGTCAAGACTTGGAGTTGGGGGAGTTCGCTAAACGCCATTTCGTCTAATTTGGTAATGTGATTGTAACCGAGAAATATTTTGCAAAGCGACAGAGAGATCGATTCGAAAAATTCCTTCGGAACGAAACTTATTCTGTTGTGCGTCAGGTCTATCGTGTTTATGCAAACGGGGCGCATAATATCGGCGACTCTAAGATTTGAAATTTGATTCCGGGACAGGTTCAAATTTAATGGCAGATAAGGCGCGGTCACATTTTGAAAAGCGCTCAACGAAAAGTCTTGGAGCTCGTTCGATTGAAGATCCAAGCGGACGAGCGTAGCGATGTCGTTAAATGCTCTGGGCGATATCGTCGATATTTTATTATCAGACAGAATGACAGATAATTTGGACGGAAGACTTCTGAATGCATTTGTTTTTATTGTGTTTATTTGGTTTCCGCTTAGCACTATCGACTGCACTTCAGGTAAACCGGAAAACATGTGAGGATCGACGGAAATCAAATGATTAAAGGACAGACGGATATCTCTGAGATCTCGGTGAATACTGGGGTGAAATATTCCTATTGGTATATGGGACAACCGGTTGCCTTCTAAATTTAAGTATTGGAGGTTTCTAAACGAGTACAAAGCGCTTTGCGTTACCGATCTCAGGCTGTTATTGTCCAATGCAAGCCATATGAGGCTTTTCAGAGGCTTTAAAACCTCTTCCGGGAACTCCTCTTGGTAGAGACCGAAACTTACTTCTAAACTTTCTAAAGTAGTTTCCATATCGATGAAGGCGTCCGGGTCGACGGCGCTTATCTTGTTGAAAGAGAGGGAAAGTTCTCGCAAATTGGGCATCTGCCGGAAAGTGTGGGCGTGCAACTCGATTATCCTGTTGTTCATGAGGAGGAGAGTCCTAAGATTTTCTAGGCCGTAAAAGTCGTCTTCGTTTATTTCCATTATTTGGTTGTACCCCAAATTCAAATGGGAGAGTTTCTTGCAATCTTCTAAAGCGGCTGACGGCACGGCTTCCAATTTGTTTCCCGCCAAAGACAAGGCGCTAAGCGTAGACGAAAAGCTCTGGAAGGTATCGTTTTGTATAAAGGATATATTATTGGACGGTATATAAAGGTATTTGAGCTTGTTTAACGTGGTCAACGCGTTAGGAACCACCTGAAAAAAGTTCCCTCCGAGGTCTAAGTACTCTAATGTGTCTTCTACACCTAGGAAAACTTTATCACCTAGCGCTTCCAAACGGTTTTGTGAGAGGTTGATACGGCCCGCGCCTGTGCCTCTGAAAGCGCCTTCCCAGATGGACGTGAGCTGGTTCAAATCTAGCAGCAAGTCCCTCACTTGCAAGCTGCCGTTAAACACGCCCTTGAGCTCTCTAAGAAAGTTTTCGCCTACGTCCAACTTCTCCAGTTTCTTCCTGTGCTTGAAATTGTACAACGGAAGGGTGTTTATAAAGTTGTCTCTCAAGTAGAGCCACGCTATCCTCTCTGAAGATACGATGTAGTCAGCGGGGAATATCGAGAAAAGGTTCGAGGAGAGGCTGAGGGTCTGGAGGGAAGGAGGGAATGAGCCGGGCTCGATGGCCCGCATGTGGTTTTTGTCCATGTTCAGCCAGGTGAGGGATTTGAATTTTTCGAGACCTTTCATAGTCACGAGGTGGTTCTCGCCGAGGAACATCTTCGTCACCGTTCCAGTCGTTCCACCCCAATTTCCTCTCACACTCGTTATACAATTACTGAAACAAAAGATAAAAACATATTTTGTTAATATCGACAATCAATTTTGACAAGTACCAGTATTGATAACATCTTCAAACAATGTGTCTACATGTGGATTTTAGTATATTATTTTTCCGGCAAAACTCATTTTCCGGGATAAAAACTTAGGAATTTCTAAATTCGCAAATATTGTAAATATTATGTAATAGAGCAGCAATGACTCTTTCGTTTAAATATATTACACAGTAGTGTCATATTGTATGTTTTTAACTGTAAATATTTCTTCTATCGCTGGTTAAAATAATTAAACTTGTCTTTATCTCTTGATTTTTTAAATAGTTAACCTATTATTATTTGTAACTTTTTATAATTTATTATTATTATTATTATTATTTTAAAATAATGCTAATAATATGTATTTTTTGGTATAATCGCTGATTTTGTATAAGAAAAAATTGTGAATTGGATAAATAACATATATTTTTCAGGAATTTGTCCATTACACCAAATTATCATCCAACGTATGGATTGTTTTATCGTACCGAGTTGCAATTTCATGGAACTGTTTGGCACTGTTTCAGTCGAGCAAAGAAATTCTCAATGAGATGCCTCAGCTTGTAAGTTGTTTTGTGTAAGTGGCTCCAGTAGCTGGCGATCCTACATGTTTCGAACATCAAGAACACAGAGAAGAACACATCTATGAGATGCACCCGTTTATTAGCTAAAAACCACCATCAAAATCATCCTAACAAATTTTTAAGTATTATCTATAATGTGGTTCTTAATTTTGCTATGTCAATGATGGTTGTTATATTGCTTATACAACTTATCTTATTTGATTTAGACGACATTAAACCTAAATTTCAACTTTTGTCTAACTTCATGAACTTTTAATATTCTGATGTGTTTTTATCACTCATTAAAAATTAGCCGAAAGGTGTTTTCTGGTCAAATTTGACTTAGTATGTACGATACTTGACGCCGCATCATTTTGTTGAAGAACTAAACATTTCGTTGTTTTAATTAATCTTTATGTAAGGTTGAACTGAAAAAGCCAGTTTCACGAGCGGGATTCGAACCCACGACCTTCGGCAGCTGCTCTACCACTTGAGCTATCGCGACTTCGATCCACTTGGACACCAACCACCCACGTCAACCTACAACCTTCAACAGTTCAAATTTTCCCTCCTTTTCCCCATTTTTCAAATGTGTAATCAGGATTCTATTCTCGGCGAGGAATGAAATGGCCACGGAGAGCTTTAGAGAAGATATACTTCGTTTTACTTATTAAATCCATTATATTTCGTGGTCCGATTGACCAAATAACTTCCTTCAATTAATTAATCTTTATGTAAGTTAATAATTGTATAAGATCGAAGTCACGATGGCTCAAGTGGTAGCGCAGCAGCGTATTTAGCCGAAGGTCATGGGTTGGAATCCCGCTCGTGACACTGGCTATTTCATTTCAACCAATACCTTACATAAAGATTAATTAATTGAAAGAAGTTATTTCGTCGATGGGACCACGAAATATAATGGATTTTATTGTATATTCTCGAAAATCCACACCCCTCCCTTCGAAAGCCTGGAAGGGCTGTGGATTTGCCAAACACAAGATTAAAGATGTCCTCAGAAGATACAATTTTAAACAATGTCGCTCTCATCTTGTCCAGGGGCTTTGGGGGACTGATGTTGATACAAGGGTAAGAACCTTTCAGAGGTGTCGATTTGGAATAGAGAAGAAAATATTCTCCCATATCCTGTGGTCCGACGAATCCATATTCGCCATTAATGGCATTCTCAATCTGTAGAATTTTTTGGATGTGGGAACAGGAAAAACCAGATTCACACATCCATGTCATCACTAAGCGGTTCACATTCTGTGCCATCAATTTGTTATTATTTGATAAATTTAAAATCTGATTGCACCAACGTTTTTAGTGCAAAAAATTGCTTAAAACCGTAAGTAAAAACATATATGTTATTATTTAAAATTTCAAAGTGTACTGGATCTGAAGTATCAAACAACAAATATTTAAAAAAGGGGGGAAATTTTTAACTAGACTAATAAAATATTAAATACTATGTTTTGGTTTTTCGATAACGTTATCTTTTCAAGAGAAATTCAGACAGACCATCCAAACAAGACTCTCTGTATACATATAAAAACGAACAAATAAAAATGGGGTTAAAACAATGAATAAAAATTAATAAAAAAAAGCAGCGACAGCTGGTCCGACCATCCTCGCTGTTGTTCAATGAATCTGTTCCACCTCTTTTAATATTAAATCGCAAGAAAAAATATAAATGCGTATGTTCATGTACTCACTCACGTAACCCCTATAAATAATCTGGACAAATATTTTAAAATGTATTGCATTATAAAACAGTATAGTCCTAAACACATGTACCACTCCTTTCATAAACATTTAAGCATAAATTTTATAAAATTGAAATACTACATTCAACTGCCAGAAATTATTTATAATAAAGTATTATATTCAGGAAAAATGTTAATAAACCCATTTACGTTTTCGTAGTCAATTGACCAAGCTACTTCTTTCTCTCAATTAAATTTTCTTTCTTGGTTGAGATTAAAAAGTCAGTGTCACGAGCGGGTTTCGAACCCACGACCTTCGGCTTGATACGCCGCTGTTCTACCACTTGAACTATCGTTAGTTCGATCCGCCCGGACACAACTCTTCATCGAATCCCGCTCAAGACACTGACTTTTTTATCTCAACCAAGACCTTAGAAAGAATAATTAAGTGAGTGAAAGAAGTAACTTGGTCAATTGATTAGGGAAACCTAAACGGATTAATAATTAAAAGTAAAAGAAGTATCACTTCACGAAACCGCTCCTCGAGGCCACTTCATAAGACGTTGAGAATCCAATCCGATTACACGACATTTGAAAATTGCAAAAAGAGGGAAAAATCGTACGGTTGTTGGTTGATATGAAGAGTTGGTGTCCGAGAGTATCGAAGTCACGATAGTTCAAGTGGTAGAGTAGCGGCGTATTTAGCAGAAGATCGTGGGTTCGAATCCCGCTCCTGACACTGACTTTTTTATCTCAACCAAGACCTTAAAAAGAGTAATTAATTGAGTGAATGTTAATAAATTTACAATTTTAAATTAACGAAGATCAAACTTGAAATAATTGTGTAAAAGTTTTGTTATTATAATAATAACTCATAATAATTATAACTCATAAGGTGGGGTTGAGATAGGAAGTTGATGTCCGAGTGGATCGAGGTCACGATAGCTCAAGTGGTAGAGCAGCGGCGTATCTAGCCGAAGATCGTGGGTTCGAATCCCGCTCGTGCCATTAACTTTTTTTCATCTCAACTAAATACCTTAATTAATTGTCATGTATTAATTGGTCAAGCGGACCACGAAAGTAGTGAATTTATTATTATTCTTTTTCTGATGATTTTCAAAAAATATTGAAAAAAGTGACTGCTCCCATTAATGACACGTAAAGTGTTGGGTTTACTAACTTAGAAATATTATTCTGACTTATACGCAGATAAGAATTGTTTAGGTCTTGTGTGCACGTATGTATAACATATTATTAATTTTAAAAAATTCTTCCCAAACAAAAAACATCCAGTTATTTTTACTAGATAAAAATGTATGTCATAATAGACGTGAACAAAGTACATAAACAACAAAATGAATAAATAAGCCCTATCACGTGAGTTCACAAGGACCCGTAGACGAGTTATACCCGGCATGCTGAGCCGCGAAAAGAGATAACACGCCGGGAGGGTCTACATCGGCTACAAAAGGAAAAAAAACATCAATTTGCCTGACAAAACATCCATTTGTAGGTTGGTTAGGAAGGAACCATGGACGCTTTGTCGAGCAATACCTCCGCCCATCTCAAACCACTAACACCAGCAACAGCCCAGCAGCCCAGGCCTGCTTTTATTGCCGCCAATCGGGCAAAAACCCATTTGAACCAGGTTTTTTATCCTCAATTGCCATCAATTTCCCCTCCCGTACATTCGGTTCAATGTTTTAGTAAATTGATGTGTACTTTGTTTATTTGCTTAACTCAAATTTACAAGCGGGCTACGAACTCAGAAACAAATGATCTAAAACACCACGTAAGGAGAAACAAAACAAAAAAGAAAGGTTCCTATTAACCAACTGTTGTTTGTACAGTATTTATTTACATCTACTTTTTACTGGAAATAAATAATAATAATCCTCGAGTAGAAAAAATATAATTAGGGACAAAAAAGCCTAACACTTATATTTTGTGTTTATTTCTAACTCTAATTTTTTAACATTATATTAATTACAGTATACTATTTTAATATATAGCAAATTAAAAGAAATGAAAAATTCATGGGTTTTAATAAAAAATATTAATTTATGATAGTTTGAAAGAAAAATAACTAAAACATCGGAAAACCAATTATTGATGGCAAGAATTTAACTAACAGTTTATTACCTGGGTTTGCACATAATAACGCATTAAGAGCAAACCTACGTTAAAAAAAATTGTCTTAGATAAAATTTAATCTTTCACTAAATAGTTTTCCCGTGTTTTGGTGAATTTTCTTTCAAATCATCTTAAGTAGATACTTTTTATTAAAATTCAGGAATTTCTGATCTCTTTAAATTTGGCTAATATTAACAAAAGTAGGATGTAATTAATATAACAATAAAAATACATAGGTTGAAATAAGCAACAAAATACGTCACGTGTCCGAGTTTTTGTTTTCGATGGTATTATGTTATACACTGACTGGCAAAAAATTCTGCCCACTTGTAATATAACTTGATTTGGACATATTTTTATATATTAATCAAAGTCTCACGTTTTTTAACAGTTCATTATTGAGTTTTTAACTTAAAAAGTAAAAAAAATGGAATTTGCTAAGGAAAATTAAAAAATGATGAAAAAATTAACGAAAAGGCTCTGCGAGTGTTTTCAAGATTGTGGAGTTTATCAGGAAATGCTCTTATTCGACTTTTGAGGTTATCCCATCAATGTTCGTTCGCC